CTATCCACTGAGCCAAACCGGTTTCGGCCATCCATTCATTCTTTAAACACATTTTTGTTGGGTATCAACTCGAGGCTGAAGAGGTATATACAGACAGTCATATAGACAGACTCTGTCCCCTTGGAGCTGACAGTCTGGTGGGGGTATGGGCAGGTAATCAGGAGAGATAAATGCAGTGTGATGTGTGCTGCGGGTGTAGAAGACACTTTAGCGGGCGACCTGCGTTAGTCTGTGATGAGAGCTCATGAAGGAAGTTCAGTCTTAGGCTGACTTGAACAATGAGCAAGACTTAACCAATCAAGTGGGGAGAGGGAGGCGGGGAAAGTATGTCAAGGGGAAGCAGGAGCATGGCCACGTCCTAGAGATTTTAGATAACGCGGGGCCAGGTGAGGATCTGAAAATGGTTGAATGGAGGCAGGAATGGTGGGAGCTGAGGGAAAAAGAGGAAGGAAAGATAGGATCGGGTTGGCTCGTTTAAGCACATATGGAGCACCTTCCAAGGTGCTAAGGGGGGTATGAGACAAAATGAGTGGACCCAGTTGGAGAGGTAGTGTCAGATGTGGGGAGCAGTCAGGAACCCTGGAGCCAGATTCTGGGCAAGATGCCCACCTACTCAGAGTGGGACACCTCTTCCTACTGCCTCAGGGCGAGCTAGCCACCCAAGAAGGGCACTTCAGGTGCTGGGGAATGCATCACCTTTCACCTTGGGGTGGGGGTGAGGGCGGGGGTGGGGGTGGGGTGGAGGTGTCCTTGTACACAGCCTCAGTGTGCCTCGCTAGCCCTGCTCCCGGCGGCCCTCTGAGCATGAGAATATTCCTTCAATCAAGATTTCGCAGCTGTCCCTATACCCTGTCTTCTCTCCTCTATGTCAGTGCTCGGTCTCACAAATCATTCCTGCTCCCTGCTATGGCCAGTCCTCTCGTCTTTCCAGGACCATTTGGGCTGTGCCCCCTGGGGGCTCCAGGCCACGCCTGCTCAACCCCCATTGCCTCGGGAGCCTCCCTCTGATGCCTGTCTCATGTGTCCAGGTCTGAACTTCCCCAGCCCCGGCTCTATCTCTAGTTTATCTACCACCTGCTTCTGAGGATAAGCTGGTTCTTGTAATCTGGGAGCATCTCCTCTCTCCCCAGTACTTTCTCAACTGTTCTTGGGTGGCCCTCCCCAGGAGGGCGAATGGTCAAAGTGCAAAGTAGGCGTTTTCTGGTTAAGACTCCTCCCTGCGATAGTGCAGGGACCTGTCACAGGAAAGACCCCCAAGAAAGGCTGAAGAAGGATCGTCTCAGCACCTGCCACGGGTTGCTCACAGTCCACTAGGAGCCATGAACAAAGGAACAGTTATTTGCAGGGCTCATGGAGAAAAAAGGAGGTGAGGCAGACTGGAGCACGGGACGAGGTCTGGCAGAGTGGGACCCTGGCTGTGACCAGCGAGGGAAAGGTTCTGTGACGGCTGGAGACTTCCCACCGGCCTCAGGACCTGCTTCTGACATGAAGTCATCATTGACCGCACCTGCTGCTGGGGATGTGACAGCACCCCAACACTGGTCCCTAAAGGATCAGCCAGGGTCCCAAGAGCCTATGACCGTGAATGAAGGGGCTATAGAAGCAAAGCTGGGGTTGGGGGGGATGGTGTCTCAGTAAAAGAGTAGCCATCTAATTTGGAAACACCAAGTTTTGCCATCACAGGGGCCCAGGGAAGGCTAGGCCAAGAGCATGGACAGGCTTGGATGGGAATCTGGGTTTTCTCTGTTACCCACAAGCCGTGTGACCCCAGGCAAGTAACTGCATTGCTCGAAGCCTGAACCACAGCTGGGAGAATTGGGGTGCAGATTACACACAGAGTGGATGTTGTTCTTCTGGGGAGCCCAGCCACAGTCCCCTTGTGGCTTCTCCAAAGCCTGGGGCCGTGGGAGAGGCCTTGTCCATGGGGAACCAGAATTGGGGTATTGTCTCAGGTCTCTGAAACCCATTGTCTATCCCTGTGCCTCCTGACTCTTCCTCCCCTTTGCCCTGAGCAGGTGGCCAATAGGTGGCCTGGGAATAGAGAGGCCACAGCCTGAATGGCGCCATGGGGGTGGCCAGTCCTTCCCGTCTTACTGTAGCTTCCCACCCAGCCTGGTGCCAGGAGTCCTGCCGCCTGGATCTACCCAGAGCTCTCTGCCTATCCTGCAGAAGGCATTGCATGGCTCTCACACAGACCTTGGTGGCTTCAGATCTCACTGTGTAACCTGAAGATCAGCTTTCAATCCTGCCCCCCACAAACCCATGTTTCAGCCACACAGAAAGCTCCTGTTCTCTGAACTTCCGCAGACTGGCATGCTTTGTTTACTTCCTGAGGCACCTGCTCTGGCACTCTGCCTTCTTATCCTGGCACACTCATCATCCCCCTCTGATAGTCAACAGAAACATGGATTGAGCTTCTACTGTGTGCAGTACTGGGAGTGGGTGAAGGTACTAAGAGGCAAAGGCTCTGGCTTGAAAGACAACCGGTAATTTCTTCCAACCCCCAACCATCACCTCCAGCACACATACACACACACACACACACACACACACACACACACACACACCATCCTCCAGGCCTTATTTCACTCTTCCATCTGCTTGTGATCCTTCCTCCATTACTTTGTGGCCAAACTAGGCTCAACTTTCAAGTTTTAGCTTAGATGCCACCTTCTCCAGGAGCCCTTACCCTGAACTCATAGTACCCTTCTTCCGCCTGGAGTTCAGGCACTGGTTTGGGCACTCATAAAGCACAGTCATGCACTGCTTAAAGATGTTTCCATCAAGCCCTGGTTGGTGTGCTCAGTGGTTAGAGTGATGGCCCATACACTAAAGAGTCATGGGTTTGATTCTGGTCAAGGTCATGTACCTGGGTTGCAAGTTCAATCCCTGGCCCTGGTCCCAGCATGTTCAGGAGTAAACCAATCAATGTGTCTCTCTCAGATTGATGTTTCTCTCTCTCTCCCCCATCCCTCTCTCTCTTCTCTTCCCTTTCTCCCTCCCTTCCACTCTCTCTAAAAATCAATGGGAAAAATATTCTCAGGTGAGGATTAACAACAACAGCAAAAAAGATGTTTCCATCAACAACAGATCACACATCTAACACTGGTACCATAGATTATCTTACCTAATAATAGACAAACATGTCAATTGACCATACCTCCACCACACCCACAGCCAATCAGGATTTAGTATGCAAATTAACCCAACAAAGATGGTGAGTTAATTTGCATATGCAGGTGCAGAGAGGATGGGTGGGGCAGGACACCTGCTATGAGGGGGGGGAGGGGCAGAGGGAGCTACAGGAGCGGTGCTCTGGCTGGGAGCGAGGAGTTGGAGGCTCCCAGGTGGCCCAGGACTTGGCAGCTCCCTAGCAGCTGGGAATGAAGCCAGGGGAAGGAAGGCCTATTCTTGTACAAATTTTGTGCAACAGGCCTCTAGTAGATTATAATGGAGTTGAAAAATTTCTATTTCCTAGTGATGCCAGAGCCAGTGTAACACCATAGCACCATTCATTACAATTGTTCCTGGTATTCAGTGCAGTAACATGCTGTGCAGGTTTGTAGCCTGGAGGCCATAGCTTGTACTAGACCATCCGGGTTTGTGTAAGTAGCTCTATGATGTTCACACAATGACAAAATCGCTTCATAACACCTTTCTTAGAAAGCATCCCCAGTGTTAAACGACTCATGACCATGTTTGAATTCTGTCTGTCTCTGTGTCTCGGGGCCTCAGTTTCCCAACCCATGAAATGGAATAGTAGCCCCTAACTCAGTGTGGTTTTACTGAGTAAATGCAACAGCACACTAACCACTGCGTGCCAAATGCTGAACAAATGTTAACTCTTACCAGCAGCAATTTAGCACTAATGGGGCTACATGCATAGTCAGCACCAACTACTTGTTTGGTGGATGGATGGATGGATGGATGATGAATAAATGGTGAGATCTTTTCCAAAATAGGAGACAATCTTTGCTGGTCTTCCATGGCAATTTAGGGAAAATCCTTAAAAAAAAATCAGCACAGTCTTAACCTTTATTTGGAAGGGATTTTTAAAAATATATATTTTTATTGATTTTTTTACAGAGAGGAAGAAAGAGGGATAGAGAGTTATAAACATTAATGAGAGAGAGTCACCAATCAGCTGTCTCCTGCACACACACCCCCTACTGGAGATGTGCCTGCAACCAAGGTACATGCCCTTGACCGGAATCGAACCTGGGACCTTTCAGTCCGCAGGCCGACGCTCTATCCACTGAGCCAAACCGGTCTTAGCAGCCTTAACCTTTATGGTATACCTACCACATATCAAGGCTCAACACACCATATCTTGCCTAATCTGAACCTCAGAATAGGAAGATATTACCGCAGAACAAGGAAGTGGCTGTTCTGAGAAGTTAAGTCAGTGGCTCAACATCACAACATGAGGCCCGTGGTTTCCTAGTCACCTGGCAGGAAGAGGGCGGCTTGCTGCGGGCCTGGGCTTCCTGCAGCCTTAGACTGGAAACTCCTAGAGGGCAGGGCCTCTTTAGAGGAATGCTGCCCTACTCATGGCCCTGCATAAACAGTTCTCAGACAACCTGCCTTTGGGGAATAGAAGGAGGAAGGGAAGGTTGGGCTGGGGAGACGGCTCCGGGACTTCCCCTCCGGAGACCAGCTGGGCAGCTTCCCAGGCACCCTTCCCTCCCCAGCTCCTCCCAGCTGGCACGCACAGAAGGGGTTAACTCTGGGCCTCACTCCTTGAAAGAACCTGAAGCTTTTACTCCTTGATCTCACCCTCCTCCCTTTCCTCGCAAAGTCTTCCTGATCTTTATACCTCCTGCAAGTCCCTCCTCCTTACTCTCACCCCCGGACTCCAAAAAACACTCTGATTGCCAGGGTGGGTCAATGGTTAACACTCCCCGGGCTTTATATAAGCCTGCCCTGGCCAGCTACCTGCTCAGTCAGTTCTTCAGTTCCCTGGATTCCCGTGGCTCCAGCAGCACTCCAGGGTCCACACCATGGCCACCTGGTGGCAGGGCCCGTGGGCCTATCGCTTCTACCTGTTTGTGTACATCCTGCCCATTATCCTGCTGCCTCTGCCCATCCTCATTCCCGCCAAGGTAAGGACGTGGGGCTCTGGGCACACAGAAGCTCTCAGGGGGCAGGAGAAGGACTGTTTGGGCCTGGGTTGGGGATCCTTAAGACCAGCCTAACCTACTGACTCTCCTAGCCTGGAAATGAGGCCACCATCTCCTCGTCCTCCCGAGGAATGAGGGCTAAAAGGTCAAAGGGGGCTTTGCTTGGCACCAGGAGTTTGGGCCCAAGGTGGATTGCTTAGGTGCATTTGGCATCTCCTGCCTCGGGAGCCAGGAAGCCAGGTCAGTGAAAGAGATGCAGGCGGAAGCAGGTGGGGCTCTCTGCCTACAGTGTGCCCACACTGCCCTGGATAAGCTTCGTGGCCACTGAGCAGGGCTGGCTGCTGGAGGGGATGGAAAGGGAGTGGGATGAAGCCGGCCTCGGGCAGTGTGTGCCATGAAGAACACAAACAGAAAGAGAAGGTGCTCACCTGTGAGCCTAAGAGCTAAGTCTCTGGGGAAGAGGGTGGGACCTTGCCAATGGGCATCATAGATACGCTGGGTGGTGGAGGGGGAGGTGCCACTGTTCCCTGCCTCCCCGAACCCCAGATATTATGCACTCGGGGGGTGGGGTGGAGAGGGCTCTTATATGTAAAAGAATACAAAATTGTAAACCTAAAATTAGCACAGGGCTTGGGGACAAGGGCCTGGAACTCAAGCGTCACAGTAAACCTTTCCCCAGAGCAGGCCACACAATTAAAAAGTGGCAGGAGCCGAAACTGGTCTGGCTCAGTGGATAGAGCGCTGGCCTGTGGACTGAAAGGTCCCAGGTTCGATTCCCGTCAAGGGCATGTATGTTGGTTGGGGGCACATCCCCGGTAGGGAGTGTGCAGGAGGCAGCTGATCGATGTTTCTCTCTCATCGATGTTTCTAGCTCTCTATCCTTCTCCCTTCCTCTCTGTAAAAAAAAAAAAATCAATGAAATATATATTTTTAAAAAGGTGGCAGAGCTGGGGTGTGAACTAGTTCCAAAGCCTGTGTTATCTTCTCTCTCCCCACTGCCTCCCGGAGGCTGGGACAACAGCCCCAGGACTGCCCACGGAGCCACTAGCTTCCTTTTGTCACAGATAGGGAAACTGAGTCAGGCTTTTAAAAATATATATTTTTATTGGTTTCAGAGAGGAAGGGAGAGGGAGAGATAGAAACCTCAATGATGAGAGAGAATCATTCGTTGGCTGCCTCCTGCGAACCCCATACCAAGGACCAAGCCCGCAACCCAGGCACGTGCCCTGATCACGATTCGAACTGTGACCTCCTGGTTCATAGGTCAACGCTCAACCATTGAAACCACTGCAGCTGGCAAGGCAGGCTTTTGATTCATGCTGTTCCAAAGGGATGAGGGCTGGGGATAAGAGGGCACAACCCCTGGGCCCTGACACTTGCTAAGTGACAAGGCTTGGCTGACCTTTGAGATGACCCTGGTCTCAGGCCAAAGTCAGTGGCATCTCTGTACTGGGAACCCATCAGATGGGCTTTCAGACAGGCTGGGCCAAGTGTGTGAACCCAGGGAGAGAGGACAGACTGGACCTGGGATTCTCACTTTACCCCCAGGAAAGCACAGCCCAGAAAGGTTCGATCACTCGCTCAAGGTCACACAGGAAAGCCTGGGTCAGTAGAAAAGCTAGGCTTCCTGGTGGGAGTGCAACGAGCCAGGAGCCTCTGTCTTCCCGGTGCTGCGCCCAGCCCTGCCGCCTCCCCGTCCCAACTCAAACTGTCCCCGTCCTATCTGTGGAGCCAGCCCCTCTAGGACTTTGCTCATGTAATTACCCTGTCTCTCTCCTACCTCAAGTTCCCCTTCTCTGCCTGATCTCTCCCATTAGCATACACACGTGCTGTAATATCTCACATCTTAAAAAAAAAAAAAAGCAGACCTCCGGCCAGTGTGACTCAGGGGTTGAGCGTCGACTTATGAATCAGGAGGCCATGGTTCGATTCCCCATCAGGGCACATGCCCGGGTTATGGACTTGATCCCTAGTGTGGTGCCTGCAAGAAGTAGCCAATCCATCATTGATGTTTCCATGCTCTCTCTTCCTCTCTGAAATCAACTAAAATATATATATATCTTGAAAAGAAGAAAAAACAAACAAGCAAACCCTCCTTGGGCCCTACATCCCCTCTACATATGCCTCCTCTGTCTTCCCTCTCCCATGGAGAAGGCCTCAGAGACTGTCTGCCCTGCACACGCCTCTCCTCAGACAGCACCGCCTCCGAGGCTCCCCACGCCGAGAGCTCTTGTCAGGTCCCCGCCAGCTTCCACGTCTCCAAAGCCCTGTCCATGCTCATCCTCCTCAACCCCCAATAGCATTTGTCACCGCTGGTCACCCCTCTTTGCAATGCTCTCTCCTCTTTTGGCTTTGGTGACACCCTCTCCTGGTTCTCCTCCTCACCCAGCCACTTTCCAGGCTCCTCCTCCCTATTCGCATACCCTCCCCCAGGTGATCCTGTGCTGTCTCCGGCTTTAAAAAGCGACTCTATGCTGACGATTCCCCAATCTGTCACCCCAGCCCTAACCTGGAAACCTGTGTTATCCGATTCACACTACACACTTCCACCCGAATCTTCTCTCTTCCGCAGCACACCCTTCACACGTCCGAAACAAAACCCTCACGCCCATCTTTCCCAGCTGGCTCCTCCTGCAGCCTCACTCATCCATGGACACTCAAGCGTCTACCTGGGAGCCCTTCCTGATTCCTCTCTTTCTGTCATTTCCACACGCACCAGCCGGTCCTGCTGACTCAAAAATACTGTGAAATGTGGTCACTTCCCACTGACTTCTCTGTCGTTTGGGTCACCATCGTTTCTCATCTGTTCTCACCCCTCCCCAGACCATTTTCATTCCACTGCCGGTCTTTTCAAAACGTAAGACCATCGCTACCCTGTTTAACACCCCTTACAGGCTCTTCATCCAACTTAAATTCCAAACCCCCTACGGCAGCCCCGAGTCCCTGAGCTCCACCCCTGCAGACCTCTTGGTCCCCAGGCCCGATGTCCTACCTCCTGTCCACACTGCGCCAGCCCCACCAGCTCTCTCTTGCTCCTCCTCACCTTGCTCCTCTCCCGGCCTGGAATGTTCTTCTCCCAAATGCCTCCTTCTCATTCCTTAGGTTTGAGCTCAAATCCACCTCCTCAGAAAAGCCTTCTCGGACCACACCCACTCACTCTTTATTACAAACATGCTGTGATTTTTTTTTTAAAAGATATTTTTAAAATATATATTTTATTGATTATTTACAGAGAGGAAGAAAGAGGGATAGAGAGTTAGAAACATCTATGAGAGAGAATTATCGATCAGCTGCCTCCTGCACACCCCCTACTGGGGATGTGCCCGCAACCAAGGTACATGCCCTTGACCAGAATCGAACCCAGGACCTTTCAGTCCGCAGGCCGACACTCTATCCACTGAGCCAAACCAGTTTTGGAAAAAAAAAAAAAAAATGCTGTGATTTTATTGATAGGACTTTCACTGCCTGAAATGATGCATTTGTTCATCTTTTATTTATCTTTTATTTGTTTATCTCTGGCCTCCTATACTAGAATGCAGGCTTCATGAGGACAGGGACTTAAGTCTTTTTCCATATAGAATCCCCAGTGCCTGGCACATAGTACGTGCTCAACAAATAACTGTCAGGTGAATGAATGAATGAATGAATGAATGAATAAGGACAAAGGGAGCCCTGTCCTGAATTCCTGCTGCATCTCTGCTCCCTGTGGTGAGGCCCGAGCTTACCTCCATGCCCCTGGCCGCTGACCTGGGAAGAAGGAGTTCCGGACTGGGCTTAGACTTGTGTCCATATAGTAACAGCTGGTATCTATTGAGGGTTCTTTTTGTATGCTAGTCACTGTGCCAAGCACTTCAAAGCACTAATCCATCTATTTCTCAAAATAACCTCCGAGTTACAATGAAGTTACTACTACTAGTTCCATTTTACCGACATGCAAATTTAGGCCCAGAGTAGCAAAGTGATTTGCCTAAAGTCCCAGCAGAGAAAGGCACAATGTGAACTGGGACCTGATCTTGGGGATGGCCCTGCTGTGAGTCATGCTTGGAGCCATCTGCCCTCACGTCCATCCAGCTGTCAGCCAAACCTTCCTCTGTTGACCAGTCTGGGTGTCTGTTGAGCTCCTGGTCTACACGGCAGTTCACCAGAAGGGAACACAGACCTTCCGCCCTCAGGTTGTTCTCGGTGTAGAGGAGCACGTGTTTACACAGAGGTGGAGCTGAAGGCTGCAGGAGCTCAGAGGAGAGAAAGTCCTTCCAGCTGAGACAAGGGAGGATCGAGGCAGGTGGCACTGGAGTTGGGCCTTGGAGGCGGAGTGAGATTCCAACAGTCAGGGGCATCTGTGGAGGGGAGGTCAGTGGAGGGATTGCAGGAACACAGGTGCAGGGGCTGGAACTAGTAGGTGTGCTAGGGGAATCGCTACAGAATCCTTGAAATGCTCACCATCTGGTGGTCCCAGCAGATGGGGGAACGTGGGGCCTGAGGCCTTCTCCCGAACCTACAAGCAGAGCGAAGAAGCACCATCAGTCTGCCAGAAACCCTACATCCATTCATCCATCCATCCATCCATTCATTTATCCATTCATTTACTTCCTAAGGAACACATACTCTGTGATAGGCACTGTTTAGGTTTGGTGGTAGGGAGCGGGAGTGGAAAGAGTGGATAGAGCGTCAGCCTGTGGACTGAAAGGTCTCACGTTCAATTCTGGTCAAGGGCATGTACCTTGGTGGTGTGCAAGAGGCAGCCAATCGATGATTCTCTCTCATCGATGTTTCTAATTCTCTATCCCTCTCTCTTCCTCTATGTAAAAAATCAATAATATATATATATTTTAAAAAGCATATACTGCCGAAACCGGTTTGGCTCAGCTGTAGAGCATCGGTCTGCGGACTGAAAGGTCCCAGGTTTGATTGCGGTCAAGGGCATGTACATTGGTTGCGGGCACATCCCCGGTAAGGGGTGTGCAAGAGGCAGCTGGTCGATA